AAAATGGCCCTATGGTTCTGTGACGACTGGCTTCGGCCCAAAACTCAAGTGGCAATATTTCTGGGGGCGATTTTAGTGTTAACACTTAACAGCAGCATTAACTTCCACATGGAAAATTTGAAGTTGAAATTTTCAGATTAGTGGCGAGAAGTTTGGGAAGAAAATAATTATTTTTTATTATTTAACTTATCATTAAACATAAAAATTAAAAAAAAAAGGCTCTTATCCACAAGTTTAGTGTAAGTATTGTAAAAATTAAGCGTATGAATAAATTAATAATAAATAATTTTTTTAAATTTAAATCACATATTTTTTTATTTTATATTTAATGTAAAAGTTTCTTACTCAACATTTAATGCTACCAGTAACAGTTTAGCTTTAGGCTCAAGATTTGTGAGGTCCTTTCAATTACTCTATTGTAAATTTATAGTTGAATAGCTTTTGATTTAGACATTTCACATTGCACTATACAATAAAATTAAAATTAATAAATATGAAATAGTTCCGAACATTAGAAGGCTAACTCTTCTCATTTAATAATTTAAATTATACAACATAATTTTATTTTTTTAATAGCACTTGAATAATTCAATTAAATAGAAAACAATTTCATTTTTATGTCGTCCCTGTTACGTTATACCACAACAATTAATTTTGGAATTAGTTTTTTCTTTTATCAGTTCTTTAAACACTTTGTTTCTCTAGCAACTTAAAAGAATAATTTAAAAACCCTTTTATTCAAATTCTTTGCTTTTACTTAACATAAAAATAAATAAATAAATTCTTTGCTTCCTTGTTCGGCTAAAAAAAAAAAAAAATCGTTGCTTTCTCGCTTTCTCTCCGTTCCGAACTCTATCTTCCCAGCGTAAAACACTCTTTAACTTCAGATTGGTTTTCCCTGCTAAAATCTCCTACTTCCCCTAATCCCCTCAGAAGAACAGAAAAATTGTGATTCTTGCTCGAAATAAAGCACCTTTCTACTCGCATTTGGCTGTGTTTAAGCACCAAAGCCCATGCTTACTTGAGTGAAATCTGGAATGAAGCTACAAATTTGTAGAGGTATATTCTTTCCTTTTTAATGGTATAAATTATAACTGCTTGCACTATTTCTCTATTTATTGTTAAATTTAAATTTGGAGAGCTTGTTTAAATTTAGCGTCTGCTGTTTTGTATCTCACTGCATCTGACTGAATTCTTTGTTTTATTCTTTCTGTTTCTTTGTTTATCTGATTCAAGCTAAAAGCAGTTCAACTATTCAAGACTCAAGTACAAAAGAAGAGGTGATATTTACGTCTGAACTTTTTGACAAGGTATGACAGCTTGCAGCATAATTTCTGGAAAAATATAAATTGATCTTGTTCCTTAGATCTTTAATGTGAAGGTGAAAAACATAGCATTCTAAAAAATGAAAGACGAGTGCAAATTATTCTTTTCTCTGTGGGAAAAGGGAAAAATTTCCTTTGACATTTTTTGGCATTGGAGACTGTAATTGCACCAGACCCGAAGTCCTTCTCTAGTCCGCGCTTGCACTTCAGAATGACCTGCAAAGCTCCGAGGTGGAACTCGGGGTAGACACTCCGATGCTTAAGTCAGCAATAATCGGGGCTACCTTTAGGGCGGAGATAAGAAAAGCTTAAGGTTGGTTTCAATTACCTTTTTGACGTGGCCCGGGGGGGTATTTATAGGATCCAATGAGGAACCCACGTGGCATGCCAAGCAAGATAATCGGAGCCTGACGTGTCTATCCAAACGATTATTCTGGGACCGGGAATTTGAGAGGTATTCAGGTGCACGAGCGTCCACCATATCTGCTGTGCCACTCATCATGAGGAATCAGGTGCGGGCATGCTTATTGTTGTTATCATACAGCTATTTGAGCGGGAAGCTTTGGATTCATTCCTCACTTCGGTCATAAAGGGATTACTGTAGCAGTCCGAATCTTGGCACCTCGGACCTGTCCTTACACTATTCCCCCCCTCGAAGTCATTCACTTGTGAATGATGTTGTTGGGGATAATGAGGACAGTGTAAGAACAAAGAGGATATGGATACATCATAAAAAGAAGAAATAAAATTTGTAATTTGAATGCATACATAGCCATGTGCGATAAGAAGAAAGTGTGACGAGAGTGATAGTGGCCGTAGCTATGGTAAAAATAATGATCGGAGTTAATGTGGCTGAAGCCATAATAAGAGATGATAACCGAAGTCGTGGTGGCCGGAGCCACAATAAAAAATGATAACTGGAGTCATAATGTAACCAGATCTG